GCGGCCCCCGGAGGGGGCGGGGGCAGGGGCAGCCCAGGGGCCTGGACAGGCTGGTGGGGAGATGGGGCTCCTGCTTCCCACCCAGGGGGAGCTGGGGTCTGATTCTGCTGTGGCTGAGGGCGGGGGGGGGGTCCCATCTCACTCCCAGTTAGTCAGCGTGAAATCGCAGTGGGGCTTGGCACGGACTTGTCTTAACTGGTCGGTTCAGCTCCAGGGATGCTCAGAGCTGGGCTAGCAGAGGCTGTGGGTCGGGAGTGAGGGGCACCGGCGGAGCTGGGCAGGGGATCCCAGGGCTGGGTTAGCAGGGGCTGCGGGTCGGGAGTGAGGGGCACCGGCAGTGCTGTGGGGGGAGCCCAGAGCTGGGCTAGCATGGGCTGCGGGTCGGGCGTGAAGGGCACCGGCAGAGCTGGGGGGGCAGGGCTGGGCTAGCAGGGGGTAGCTCGGAAGCGGGCTCTGGGCCCCCTGGGCTAAGCTCTGGCTGCCAGCGAGGTGGGCACTGAGTCTGGGGAGCAGCTCTTCCCTCTCCCCGGCAGGGTTGTGGCTGGGCCCTGCTGGTAGCTCTGCCGGAGGCCGTGGCCTGTAATGTCACTGGGCAGCCAGGCCAGTCCCTGGAGCGCCCGGCAGGACCGCCGGGGTGGGGGGATCGCGGCTGGGATGTGTCCCTGAGCCCAGGAAGAGACGGGGCAGGCCTGTCTGGGCGGGCGCCTGGCGTGCTGCCGAAGGGCTCTGGCACTCTGCAGGGCGGGTGAGGGCCATGGGGGGAGCCGGCCTGGAGTCGGCTGCGGGAGGGAGGGGTGAGAAATCCGTAAACCCCACAGCAGGTCGGTTCTCCTACTGGTCTCCCCTTGGGGTCACCTTGTCTGTGCTGGGCCAGGAGCTGCCCAGAGATCTGGCCCAGATAGCAAACCCGTCTCTAGCGTGGAGCTGCTGTTGGCCCAGTGCCCGGCTCAGCCCTGGACTGGCTCTGCGGCGGGGGCAGACGGTGGCTGAAGGTGCCAGGCGTGCCATGACCCTAGGGAGCCAGCGGGCACCGATCTGACTGGGGAGGTTGGTGTCCAGCCAGTCACCTAAGGCCTTAATTAGCCGTCAGCATGCCCGAGGTAGGGAGTGCCAGCCGGCCGGGTCGCTTGGGAAACCTTCAGCCCCTGCTGCTCCGGATCCTTCTCCTGGAAGGGTTCCCAGCTGGGCAAGTTCTCTACCGCCCCGTCCGGCCCCTTGCCCAAGCCGGTGTAACGATGCGGTTCTGGCGGGCCCCAACTGAGAGTGCCAATTCAGGACAAATCGCTTAAAACAGGGCAGTTACAGCCCTAGGCTGGGGTTTTTCCACCTCTAAGGCAAACCAAACCAGCCAGCCAAAGAGGACTTTGGTTTCACCCCACTGGCTAACCACAAGTCACACAAGCAATTCCTTTAGACACTCCAGCTTCCCAGTATCACCACCAGTGCCACTCGTTATGGGGACAAATGGTTATGAAAACCAATACCCCAGTAAAAGAGAAAGGTTCTCCTAATCCCAAAGGACCAAGCCCCAGACCCAGGTCAATATACAGATCAGATCTTACCCACAAATCACGCTGTTGCCAATCCTTTAGAATCTAAAATCTAAAGGTTTATTCATAAAAGGAAAAAGACAGAGATGAGAGTTAGAATTGGTTAAATGGAATCAATTCCATACAGTAATGGCAAAGTTCTTGGTTCAGGCTTGTAGCAGTGATGGAATAAACTGCAGGTTCAAATCAAGTCTCTGGAACATCCCCAGCTGGGATGGGTCATTCAGTCCTTTGTATAGAGCTTCCATTTGTAGCAAAGTCCCTCCAGAGGTATGAAGCAGGATTGAAAACAAGATGGAGATGAGGCATCAGCCTTATATAGTCTTTTCCAGGTGTAAGAACATCTCTTCGTTCTTATTGTGGAAAATTACAGCAAAATGGAGTCTGGAGTCACATGGGCCAGTCCCTGCATACTTTGCTGAGTTACAAGGCGTATCTGCCTTCTCTCAATGGGTCAGTTGTGTAGCTGATGGTCCTTAATGGGCCATCAAGCAGGCTAGGCAGAGCTAACACCAGTTTGTCTGGGATGTCTTCCAGAAGCACAGCATAGGTTTGAAATACACACAGTATAGAGCCAATATTCATAACTTCAACTACAAAAGTGATACACACATATAGACAGCATAATCCTAACCAGCAAATCATAACCTTGTCTTAGACACCTCATTTGACCCCCTTTATACCAGATTTGGTGCCACTACAGGACTTTGGTTGCAACAATGATCTATATGGTCCCAGATTAGATCAATAACATCACACCCGGGCACTTTGGCTGCCTGCTCCTTGATCCCTGCTCTGGGCTCGGTCACTGGACTCTGCAGGGGTAGTTCTGGCTCCCTGGTTGGGCGTGTGGCACTTCCAGAGAAGAGGGGGGGCTCTGGGAGGGCGTGCGGAGCTCCCTGCCTCTGGCACGGCTGCTGCCTGCAGTTCTGCCCGGTGGGGGGGGGCCTCCCCCAGCCCTGCGGGGAGTGTGAGAGCTGGATCCGGAGCTCCCGGCGCTGTGCTGATTCCCGAGTCCCCTCCGTGAGATGACGCTGGTGCTGCTCCTGGGTCGCCCGAGCGGGCGAGAGATCAGAACAGGCCCCGCTGAGCCCCGGCTTTACCAGGGGCTCTTGTCTCCTGCTCCCGGAGCCCCGAGTCCAGGGCCGGTTAACCCCTGCCGTGCTGGGCTGGGAGGGACGGCGAGGGGTCAGAGCGTCGCAGGCTGGGATGCTGAGAAGGCACACGCTCCTTTCTCCCCATGATGCGAATGCAGCGTCTGGGGCCTGGCCTCTCTTGCGATGCTCAGATGAGTAACAAACGCTGCCCCTGCTTTTGGGTGCAGCTTTTCAAGCAGGAATCGTCATGTCAGGTCACCTGCTACTTCTCTGGTGTCCCTGGTTGGCTCCCCCGTCCCGTGTGCCGAGAGGCGATGGGTGAGCCCGTCGGCACTCGATCGGCACGCTGACTCTTCCAGCCTCGCCCGCCAAGCCGCGGGGCTCCGAACCCAGGAAGCGAAGCTGTGAGTAGCGATGTCGCCCCCTAGCGAGCGGCTGCAGCTACACGGAGGATAAAAGCCCTACTACTGGGGCGTTCTCTCGCTAGCTCCGAAGCGCCGCGGCTCTGCTCCCAGGGCTGCGGGTCGGGAGTGCGGGGCCAGTGGCTTTGCTACAAAGGGCTGTTGGAGGCCGGGTTGCTTCCACACGCGCGTCAGGCTGTGCCCAGGGGACTGCCAGAGCCGGGGAGCGCCCCTGGGCTGCCCTGGGTGGGGCGTATGTGCTGGGGAGGGAGCTGTGTCCGATCCACAGCTGATTGAAGTCAGTGGAACGGCGCTGATTCATGCCAGCTGGGGGTCTGGGCCACTCTGGCTTTTTGGGGTGACCCTCCCCCAAAATCCAGGGGCTTTGGAGGTAGCAGACCTGAGTGGGGAGGGGTCTGGCTTCAAGTGGCTGGCACTAGGGGTATCTTAGCCACATCTCTTAGGCTTGTGCTGTGTCTGTCACTGTGGTCTCTGTGCAAACTACCCCCCACTCCCCGCAACCCTGCAAAGGGGCAAAAAGGAGAGAGGAATGTTTGGTTCAATGTTATCGGGTGTCACTGTAACGTCCCAGCCAGCGCAAGACACCTGGGGCCCGGCCCGGCCTCTGCCCAGATGGCCCGAAATCTGGCCCAGCTGTTTGGTGGCTGGGCTGGAGTTCTGGATGTCCGCACCAAGGTTATGCAGGGAGTGTGTGGATCAGCCCTCTGGTGGGCCGTTGTGAATGGAGGGGGCGTTCTCCCCTGCTCCATAGGGGGGCGCTGAACAGCGCAACAGGGTGCGGCCGGGGCAGGGGTTTGCACGGGGGAAAGGGGGCGGAGCTCGCTGGAGGGTGGGCGGGCTCACGCCGGCCGCGGGGGAAGGGTGGGACTCAGAGGGTGAGAAACGCCTGCGTCCCCCGCCGGAGTTGGAGGACGTGGCCTCAGTTTCCCCAAGCAGTCGCCGGCGCTAGAACCTTAAAGGGGGGAGAACCAGCCGGTGGCGAACACCCACGTGCGGTGCGTAGTGCCCCTTTAAACAGTCTGTGGGTCCCCGGGCGGCGCTTCCTGTGTGCCTGGCTTCAGGTCTCATCCTCACTGCCTGCTGCTGGGTCTTGGCTCTTTACAGAACAAACCTGAAGCAGCCGTAGGGGCACCGGGGGGCGCCGGGCTGGTAACCGAGGGCACCAACCATCCACACCAGGCCGGGCCTGGCTAGGCACACGTGGCTGCTCTGCCTGGCGTCCGGGAGCTGCAGGAACGTGGGCCACACTGAGCACTGCCCAGGGGCTCATGGACTGTTTAAAGGGATCCCTCCCGATTTCTAGGCACTCCATGTGTGCATAAGGTGGCCTCCCTGCCCCCAGTTTGCTGCCAGAGGAGCAGGGGGGAGGGGTGTGGCTGGAAGTCAGAACAATTCCCCAGAGCTAGCGCTATACCCATTTACACCTGCTGAGGATTTGGCCCATAATCTTTTCCTCATGTAGCAGTGAGTTCCACAGGTTAATCGTGCTGCATAAACAAGCGATTCCCTCTGACCCTGCTGTTCAGTGATGTTGCCTTTTTCTTATTCTTGGGATCAATCTAACCCCTCGGGGGTCAGACTCCACGCTCACCTGAGCACGGGGGGCGGGGTGGGGCAGATACTCAGCTGGGGCAAATCAGCATCTTCCACCGACCCCAGGGGAGCTGCACCAGTTTGCACCTGCTGAGGAGCTGTGTTTATATTCTGTGGGAATGGGAGCCAATCCATTGTGCTACTAGAGGGGAAACTGAGGCACGGGGTGGTGAAATGACTTGCCCGAGGCTGCTGACAGAGGCAGTGGCAAAGGCTAGGTAGAGCGCTGGGATTCTGATGTCTGTGGTGCTCAGTCCGTTGCTGGTAACGGGGGGGGGGTCCGTGGGTTGGAGCCTGGCCGTGGGTGACTGACCGGTCTCCTCTTTGCGCCCCCACAGCCCGAGGACCTGGAGGCCCCCTCCTCCCACACGTTCAAGGTGAAGAGCTTCAAGAAGGTGAAGCCATGTGGGATCTGCGGGCAGGCGATCACGCGGGAGGGCAGCACCTGCCGAGGTGAGTTCACAGGCTCCAGCGTGACCAGGGAGTGGACTGGGCCTGGGCCAAGCTGGTGCTGCGTGGCGGCCGCCGTGAGATGAGCTGGGGAGGTCTCAGTCCAGTTCCCAATGGAGGAGAGGAGAGCCCAGAGCCGGGTTCACAGCCAGGCTGGTGGTGTGATCAGAGGAGCTAAGAAGGGAGCGACTCCGTTGGGGTGGGGCACGCGGGAAGCTTCCCCTGTCACTGCCTCTGTTGCAGGATGACCTGGGGGCATCAGTGTCCAGAGCTGCCAGTCTCCTTCCACTGGCACCAGACTCCCACGTGGCACCGCCGCATGCCTGGGAGCATCTAGCCCTCAGCCAGCCCTCTACAAAGTCCATTGATGGACCTCGTCTCCAGGAACTTCTCTTGTTCTTTTTAGAGCCCGGTTATGCTTTTGGCCTTCACACCATCCCCTGGCGATGAGTTCCACAGGCTAAGACATAGAATCTCAGGGTTAGAAGGGATCTCAGGAGGTCATCTAGTCCAACCCCCTGCTCAAAGCAGGACCAATCCCCAGACAGATTTTTGCCCCAGATCCCTAAATGGCCCCCTCAAGGATTGAACTCACTACCCTGGGTTTAGCAGGCCAATGCTCAAACCACTGAGCCTTCACTCATTTCCCCGCCCCATGTTCTGTCTGATTTTCTATCCCTTTCCTAGTTCTTCTGAGCACGCTGCTAGACTTTTTGACGGCTGCCACAGACTGAGCTGAAGTTTTTGGAGAACTACCCACGGTGACTCCAAGATCTTTCTTGGGTGGTCACAGCTCATTCAGACCCCGATCTTGTCCATGTCGCGTTGGGATTATGTTTTCCAATGTGTGTTATTTTGCACGTATCAACATTGAATTTCATCTGCCATTCTGTTGCCCGGTCACCCAGTTCTGTGAGATCCTCTTGTAGCTTTTCGCAGTCTGCTTTGGACTTTGCTATCTTGAATAATTTTGTATCCTCTGCAAACTTTGCCACTATGCTGTTCACCCCTTTTCCCAGGTCATTTATGAATACGTTGAACAGCGCTGGTCTCACTACAGACCCCTGGGGGACACCACCATTTACCTCTCTCCACTGTGAAAACTGACCATTTCTTCCTACCCTTTGTTTCCTGTCTTGTAACCAGTCACTGATCCATGAGAGGACCTTCCCTCTTATCCCACGCATGCTAACTTTGCTTAAGAGCCTTTGGTGAGGGACCTGGTCAAAATTTTCTGGACATCCAGGTACACTACTTCCTCTGGATCACCCTTGGACACATGTTTGTTGACCCCCTCAAAGAATTCTAATAGATCGGTGAGGCGTGATTTCCCTTGACACAGACTGTGTTGACTCTCCCCCAACAGATTGTGTTTAGTTATATTACTGATAATTCTGCTCTCTACCATCCTTTCAGCTGCTTAGCCTGGCATGGAGGTGACGCTCACCAGCCTGTAAGTGCCAGAATCGCCTCTGGAGCCTTTTGTAAAAATTGGTGTCACATTAGCTACTCGCCCGTCCTCTGATGCAGAGGCTGATTTCAATGTGGTGCCATTGCAGTTCTCCGGGCTGGCCACAGGGTGGCACCCCAAGTCTCTGCATCAGGGAGGGCTGTGGGTGTGGCTTGCTGGCCAGGGCTGGATAAAGGGGGCTGCACCTCTCTGGGGCAGGAAGGGGCCATGTTTGGTGTGCTGGGCTGGGACCACCCCCCCCCCCCCCCCCCCCCCCCCCCCCC